CTTGGCCTATTGCCCAGGCTGGAGTGCAGTGGTGCAATCATAGCTCACTGCAGCCTCGACATCCTGGCCTCAAATGATGTCCCCACCCCAGCCTCCCAAGTACTTGGGACTATAGGAGTCCACCACCACCCCCAGCTAATTTTTAATTGAGATGAAGTCTCACTATGTTGCCCAGGCTGGTCTCGAACTCTTAGCCTCAAGTAATTCTCTTTCCTTAGCTTCCCGAGTTGTGGGGATTACAGATGTGAGTCACCATCCTTGTCCTCTTATTGGTAGGACTCTATGTGACATTGTGAAGGTCATCTGTGGTCTGCTTGTCCAATATCCCTCCTATATTCCTTTGCCACTATCCTTCCATTTTTTTTGGGTGGGGAGGATCACTACCCCATTTCTAGTCCATATGATTTGGGAAGGCCTGACCCTCCATAGGCAATCAGATCAGCATGGTAGTTAACTCAGAAATGGGCATGTGACCCAAGCTAGGCCCATGACAGTCATCCCTGCACTTTTGCTGAAACTGCTGGGAATGAGGTGCTTTCTTTTCATTGGAATAGCTACTTGCAAGGCAGTAAGTAACGTGAAATTTCTGGGGCCATCTTTGCTGCTCTCTCAAAAGAGCCTGCTTGAAAAATGGAGCCAACGCAGAAGAAATGAAGGGACAGAATAAGTTTTGGTTGATATTAGCTGACCCCTGATCCCACTGAGCCAGAAGCCATCTACTCATGGACATTTTTAGTTATGAGAGCCAAATAATTTGCTGCCTTGCTGGATTGAGCTAGTTTTCAGTCACTTGCAGTGAAGAGAGTCCTGCCTCATTTCACTTCCTTTTAGGCTTAGGTCCCGCCTCTCACAGCTTTAGAGCCGTAAAAAGGATAAAGTGAACCCAGGCAGTGCTGAGCTAGCCAGTCTCCTGGCTAAGTGTGCAAAGAACTCTGGAATTACTACTACCCTGGTCTGATCAGTAGCCTTGCCTGCTGCTTACCATACAGCCATAGGGGTATTGCTTCCTTGAGCCCTGAGGCACTATACCTGTTTTTAAAAATGATTTTTATTTAGGTCAGGTGTGGTGGCTCACGCCTGTAATCCCAGCACTTTGGGAGGCTAAGGCGGGCAGATCACTTGAGGTCAGGAGTTTGAGACTAGCCTGGCCAACATGGCAAAACCCCGTCTCTACTAAAAATATATGATTAGCTGGGCGTGGTGCCTCACATCTGTAATCTCAGCTACTTGGGAGACTGAGGCATGAGAATCACTTGAGTCTGGGAGGTGGAGGCTGCAGTGAGCTGAGATTGCACCACTGGGCTCCAGCCTGGGTGACAGAGCGAGACTCCATCTGAAGAAAAATAAAAGATTTTTATTTAAAAAATGTTTTGTAGAGATGGTGTCTTGCTATGTTGCCTAGGCTGGGTCTCAAACTCCTAGCCTAAAGCTCCGGGATTATAGATGTGAGCCACTGTGCTTAGCCAGCACTATACTTCTATTAGTTGCCAATGCTTGCTTTGTTCTGTATTGTCTAGCGCATGCTTGAGTGTGAGTGTATGAGTGTGTGTGTGATCACGTGTGTGAGCGTGTGTGTGTGTGTTCCTTTTACTCCCACCTTGCAGGGTTATTGCAAGCATCAGGTGGGATAATGTAGGTACAGCACTCAGCCCAGTGCCTGGCACAAATATTGAGTGCTCTCTGCCTTCCCCTTTTCTCCTCCTGATTCAGAGAATGACTTAAGGATCTGTGATGTGTTCCAATTTTCAATGTCCTCAATAAATAATGGGGAGTTGAAATACTGTTGCCAGAAATTTGCACTAGTTTTAATTAATTTTATCTGTTTAGAGTAAGATATCTCAAAGTCACTGAATAAATTCATGTCACATATGTTTATGCACATCAGTATTTTTCTTGAGAACTGACAGCCTTAGTCCTTGTTTTGTTCCCTGATGCTGCAGCAGAGGCCAAATGTGTCCTGATTTCTTGAGTGATGGCTGCCAGCTCTCTGAGTGTCACAGTAGGTGAGTCCTCCATGGGGGCAAGCGCCAAGGATGAGTGTGGCCAGGCAGCATCTGCAAGCCCATTTTGTCTATTCTTTATTTTTGTAATACATTTTATTCTTAGGTTATAAACATGTTTATGTTTATTAATATATTTAATGTAAGTTTATATTTATAAATATAAACTTTATAAAGTGTAGTTTGTATGTATAAACCTTAAATATGTTTTGACTTATCCATATAAGTTTTTGTAACTTATATGGATAAGGCAAAACATGTAGAGTATACAAAATATTAATTTTGTTACCCATTTTAACCCCACCCTCTGAAGTAAACATTATAACCAGCTTCATGTGTATCTCTCTACATTTTTTATATACTACACTTTTCCCACATTTTTACACTTTTATACATTTTCCTATTTTCTTGTTTACATATGCAAATATATAAACATACATATTTGCTTATAGGATGCCCCTTTTAATTTTTTAATGCAAAATAACATCATATTCTGTTCCTTGCTCTTTCCCCTTCCTTCCTTCCTTCTTTCCTTCCTTCCTTCCTCTCTTTTTTTTCTTTCCCTTCCTTCCTTCCTCCTTCCCTCCCTCCCTCCCTCCCTCCCTCCCTCCCTCCCTTCCTTCCTTCCTTCCTTCCTTCCTTCCTTCCTTCCTTCCTTCTTTCCTTCTTTCTTTTCTCTCTTTCTCTCTCTCTTTCTTTTGTCTGGCTCTGTCACCCAGGCTAGAGTGCAGTGACACAATCATAGCTCACTGCAGCCTCGACCTCGACCTCCTGGGCTCAAGTGATCCTCCTGCCTCTGCAGGGATTATAGGAGTGAGCCACTGTGCCCGGCCTCTTTTCCTTTTTTTAAACCTAATAATCCCATGCCTCTTTTTGGGTCAATGTAGATAGATCTAACTCCTTCTTCATAGTGGCTTGTCTTCCATTGTATGGTTGTACCATGATTGATTTATTTAACTGATCTCCTATCAATGGATTTTTCAGGTCCTTTATAGCTTTTTGCAATTACACATAATGCTGACATAAATACCCTTGCAAATATTTTTTTTATATTCAAGGAAACATTTGGTGATTCTACTCTTTTGGCCCATGTGTCACATATGAAGGACACTTACTATATCAACCCTTAATCTGTCCATCAGTCTGCCACATGAGAAGGCATTTTTTTTTTTTTTGAGATGGGGTCTCAAAAAATCAGGCTGGAGTGCAGTGGTGCGATCTCAGCTCACTGCAATTTCCACCTCCCAGGTTCAAGCGATTCTCCTGCCTCGGCCTCCTGAGTAGCTGAGATTACAGGTGTGCGCACCATCACACTTGACTAATTTTTGTATTTTTTAGTAGAGACAGGGTTTCACCATGTTGGTCAGGCTGGTCTCGAACTCCTGATCTCAGGTGATCCACCCTCCCTCGGCCTCCCAAAGTGTTGGGATTATAGGCGTGAGCCACTGCGTCTGACTGAGAAGGCATCCTTTTACCTCCCTTTCCAGGACATGTTTTTAGCAGAGCCCTGTTGGGAAAAACACCAGTTTATGAATGTAGAACCTGGGCCCAAATGTAAGACCAGCCTCACTCCAGATCTAGCCTGGAGCAGTGATTTCTCTGCCCCTCCCATTCTCCCTGTCTCATGTGACCTGAGCACCTCCCCCCGCCTCCATGGTCAGTGACAAGCTGTAATTGGAGCGAAAGGGCTTTGAAGTTCCGATAAATGAGATAATAAATCTCTGCTCTCCGGGGATACAGGGCAGTGTCTGTGCCTATTGAATGGCCTCAACAGTGCTGTGTATATAGTAACTACTTAATTAATATGAAATAAGAACAATAAATCCAGTGGTTGAAGTGATCCCTTTGAAGCTCAGGTCAACTCTGAGCCATCTGAGAAGAATGAATGGAATGGGTAATTGAAACTGATAGATAATCCCCAAACCTCAACTTACTAGTTAATAGGGTTAGGCTCTTTACCTATTAAACCCTTTGAGATACTCAATTTGAAAACTGCTAAAATAAATCCCATACTTTCATTTATTTTTTCATTGTTGTGGGGCAGGAGAAATTGAGCTGTGAAATGGCCACCAGGAAGGTAGCAGGATGACGAGTCAGGAGTCCTGCGTGAGACATCCGCAAACATCTCATAAGCAGCTTCTGAATCACACAGCATCAAGGCTGCCAAAATGCCTGGCCAGTTTTGGACCTGGAGACCTAAGAATGGGTCTCCCTGTGGACTCCTCCTGACCTGGGTGGGGCAAGGCTCTGGGAAAATAGGTCAAATGACTCTTGGTCTAGAACCGTCTGGCTAGAGATGCCCCAACTTTGCCTTTTGGGCTATTCATCAAATCCAGCCTTTAGGACGCGACATCAGGGTGTCATTTCATGGGAGGATCTGGGTGCATTTTAGTTAAAAGAAGTGATGTCATCACATCCCTGCTGAAAAAAGGAAAAAGGACCCACTCTGTGCTGACATACCGAGTCCTGGGCAGGGAAGTCTGGACAGACACCTGGGCCCCCACCTGGCTTTTCTACCAGCTAGCTCTGTGACTCTGAGACCATTGTGTCAGTTTTCTCTGCCACAGTTCCTCCCTCTGCAAAATGAAGGGCTTGAAATGCAGGATTCTAAGATTGTGGCCATATCTGACTCTGATAACAACCCCATGAGCCTGAAGAATTCAGCACTGCTGCTCCATAGGGGGTTTCAGCAGGAAGCAGGCACAGATGGCTTTCTCTGGAACGTGTTCAGAAATGTGGTGTGTGATGTACGGTGTGAATGAAGCGTGGTGCCCTTTAAACACAGCTTCCCCCTGGGAGTGCTCTGAGCTCCTCGGGTTCTCTGGCTCTCATTCACATTCCACTGTCACTCTGGGCACAGGCAGCCCTCACGTGCTTGTGCACTGAGCACACACACACACCCCGCCCCGACTGACACACAGTTGGTGACTCACAACTGACACAATCATTACACACATCGGATGACTCAGCGGGGACGCTCACACACGGGCTCACGCTCACCATGACGTGTAGAAGTGGTTGTGCCCACAGCATCAGGCACCCCCACAGCAGCCTTGGTGGAGGCTCTTGCTAGCGGTGTCTGCAAATGATTTGCATTCTTGGCTCTTTGGAACTGCCTGTTCTTTGTCTTTCTGTTCACTGCTCAACCCTTTCCTTCCCTTCTGTCCCAAACTTGGCTGGTTTTAGTCTCTTGCTCCCAAGCTCCTCAGCCAGCTTCCTGGACTGGCTCAGGCAGTCTCTAAGGCTCCTGCCAACTCCAAGGCTGCTTCTAATCAACTCCTCAGCTGGGAGGAGTCCCTTCCTCAGGGGGTCTCATTCCCTCCCCGACCTGAGCATCTCTTCCTGTCTTCTTCAGGAAGATCTTCAATATCTGTGCCATTTGAGCCAGCCCCTTTCACAAGACAAGGAGCACCCAGAGCCAGTCACATCATAGAAAGTGCTGGCAGCTTCTGGAGTCTCTGAGTCTTCAGTGTCTCTGGGGGTGCCCTTTCTCTTTCTGGCAGCCCGGGCAGATAGAAGTGTTGGGGTTCTTAGAAAATCATCTCTGGGAGTTGAGCAGAACCAGCTGGTTCTGGATAAGCAGAGAAAAAAGATGCTGCACGTCCCAGCCATAATGGGCTGGGAGGGACCTACCCCAGAATGGGAAGCAGGGTGGGGAGGAAAGAGAGGCCTGTGTCCATGGCTGCTGGCTGAGGTCTGATGGGAAGATAGGGGAACACGTCCTGGAGCTGCACTTCCTTACAATTCATCTTCTGCTTTCAGATTTAAGGTTACTTTGCCTAGAATAACTCCTGTCTTTCCTCTTTTCCTGGGGGAGCCCTCACACAGGAGAGGGAGTGTGGCAGAGTGTAATGTGAAGAGCCCAGGCCAGGGTCAGAGGCGCAGGCGTAAGTCTCTGCTAATAGCTCTGTGGTCCTGGGCTTGACATTAACCATTTGAGTCTCTGCTTCCTTGACTGTCAGATGTTCTAATAGCACTTTTCCGTATCCTCTGAAGATATGGGGGCGCGGATCAGGTGAGCTAGCAGACGTGACAATGCCTTCACAAATTAAAAGTGGCACACACAAAAAGTGAGAATTTGAACAGCAGCAAGGAGATGGTGGAGGAGCTGCCCACAGAGAGTCTTTGAGGGAGACCTGAAGATTCCCCTCCTGAACATGGGGTAAAGTCCCTGCTGGAATCCCAAGGCTGGTTCGGGACCTCCTTTGACTCCGGCACCAGAGGCCCAGACAAGTACTTGCTAGGCCCCTGCTTTGGACCCAGCTGTCATTGAGCTGAGTGTTTTCCTGGAGAGAGGAGAAGGGGTCCTTCCATGTGGATTTTCCCTAAGTATAGATGCTGGCCCAGCAATGCCAAGAACTGAGACACCCTGTGCCTAGCTCTTGGCTGGCTGCTTATAGCTTGAAATGCCCTTTTCAACTCTGAAACTTTTAGTCTGGCAATCCTTGAGAGCATTTTTTCCCTCCTACTTGGGTGAGAGCTTTATTTTTGACTTCATTCTATCCATCTGAAGAACTAGAATCCACAGGGAATGACCTTGCTTTAGCAGACCCGAGTCTTCGTCTCTCTACCTCAAGCCCTGCCCTGTGAATATCCTCAGCTCTCCCTACAACTTCAAATCTGGAAAAGGCACCAGGCACGGTGGCTTATGCCTGTAATCGCAGCACTTTGGGAGGCTGAGGTGGGTGGATCACCTGAGGTCAGGAGTTCGAGACCAGGTTGACCAACATGGTGAAACCCCGTCTCTACTAAAAATACAAAAATTAGCCCAGTGTGGTGGCGTGTGCCTGTTATCCCAGCTACTCAGGAAGTTGAGGCAGTAGAATCGCTTGAACCCAGGAGGCAGAGGTGCAGTGAGCCAAGATCGCATCACTGCCCTCCAGCCTGGGTGACACAGCGAGACTCTGTTTCAAAAAAAAAAAAAAAAAAAAAATCTGGAAAAGGCTTCCTCAGCAAACAGACTTACAAAAATTTCCAGTTAGCTCTTTCCTTACAGTTGGTCTGCTGTTTTTGGATTTAAGGTTACTTTGCCAATGTGCCTGGCCTTAATGGTCAGTTAAATATTTAACATATATAGCATGTACATCAGACACGGTTCTAAGCATTTTTCTACAATATTAATTAATTTTCAGAAAACCCTTTATGGGGTAGGCACTCTCATCCCCATTTTGCTGCATAGGACTCCAAGGACAGAGGTTAAATAACATGCCTAAAGTGGGGCAGATTAGCGTACAGTGGCGGGCGTGGAATTCAACCCAGGCCACCTGCCTGGGGAAATTAGCCTGTGACCCCAGCTTTCTTCTGCCCACTGGTGGGCGGTGATTCCAATAGCACCATATGCTACTGATGGTTTTCTTGAAAGCAGCAGGAATTCCTGATCTACTGGCAAGAAGGAGAAATGAAGCAAAGCCAGAGCTGTTCAGACTCAGGTCCACTCCAGCACACGTGCCTGCGTTCTCATTCCTCAGGCTGGTCTCTTCCTTGACTCCTTCAAGAGCTGCATCTACAAGAGAATAGAGCCACTCTTTCCCTAACTGTCCTCTCCCCTCTTCTCTCTCTGGGGGAGTCCTGCAGAGCCATTGTTCTCCCAACCTCAGCTATTGGGCCTCTCTTGGCAAGGACCTAGCGGCGTCTCTTATTTACCCATTAACGATTAAGCTCCAGGCATTTGACATATAAACACAGAAAACATCAGCATCATTACGGCAAAGATTTCAAAAGATCTTTGGCAGGGAAGGGTTTGATATTTACTTAACAAAAGAATTCCTTACTTCGGTTTTAAGAAAGAATTCACAATAGGATTTAACAAGCCAGTTTCTCCAGTAAATTAAAAACATTCTTTTACTCATTCAGAATATGATTTGTGTTTTAAAAAATGTGTCTCACACACAACTTTTCAAGAGAACACTCGTGGCGTTTTCCCTGAGAGCTCTGTTCCCACGTTATCTTCCAGTGTTTCTCATTTGTTGAGATGGTCCCGCACTAAGCAGAGAGAGAGAGAATAGCTGCGGAGGAGGGGGTGTGCCTTAGGATCTAAGATTCCACCCCTAGCGACTCTTTCTTTTGTTTCAAGAGTGACTTCTACAGAAGGGTTTCTTTTGTTATACAAGAAGAGTGTTGCTAAGTATATCTTCCATGACTAGAGGTACTTAAGCCAGTCTATTAGAGTACTGGGCCCTTGGGAAGAGGAAGGAGGAAGGGGAGAAAGAACACAGGTAGGTTTATTGGGGGAAAGAAGGGATAGTCACCTGTTCATTTGTTTGTTTGTTAATAATGACTCATATTCCTACCATTGCAAGACATTTGGAATACAAAGGTAAATAAGATAATAGTACAGTCAAGGATCGGGTGCAGCGGCTCACACCTGTAATCCCAGTACTTTGGGAGGCTGAGGGGGGTGGATTACCTGAGGTCAGGAATTTGAGACCAGTCTGACCAACATAGTGAAACCCCGTTTCTACTAAAAATACAAAAAAATTTAGCCGGGCATGGCGGATGCCTATGATCCCAGCTACTCGGGAGGCTGAGGTAGGAGAATCACTTAATCTGGGAGACGGAGGTTGCGGTGAGCCAAGATCACACCACTGCACTCCAGCCTGGATGACAGAGCAAGACTCTGTATCAAAAAAAAAAAAAAAAAAAAAAAAAAAGGAAAGCCACCCACTTGAGCAAGGGTAAAAACTCAGGATGGGGTGCCCAACTAGACGTGGGGACAGTGTTGGGGAAGCCACCACAGAGTTGACAGCAGAGTTTCCAAGGATGAGAAGTAATAATAATTTTTAAAAGGGTTAGGTGCAGTAAGTAGCTCATGCCTGTAATCCCAGCACTGTGGGAGGCTGAGGTGGGAGGATCGCTTGAGGCCAGAAGTTCCAGACCAGCCTGGGCAACATAGTGAGACGCCTTTCTACAAAAAAATTAAAAAATTAGCTGGGTGTGGTGGCGGGCTCCTGTGGTCCCAGCTACTCAGAGGCTGAGGTGGGAGGATTGCTTGAGCCCAGGAGGTCCAGGCCGCAGTAAGCTCCACTCCAGCCTGGGTGACAGAGAGAGACTGTATCTCAACAACAACAACAAAAAATTAAGAAACATTCCTAAAACTTGCATTTGCTATATGCCCAACATTATATAATACTAAGCATCTTGCATTTTAACTCATATAATCTTCATAAAAATATAAGGAAAGAGCTACTGCTATCCTTATTTTACAGAAAAGCAACCAGGCTCAGAGAAGTTAGGTAATTTGCTAAAGCCCGCAGATAGTGAGCAGTAGAAATGGGAGAAAACCCAGGCTTTCCAGCTCCAGAGCTCATGGTTAGTGCTTTTAACCACTATTATATATTTTTGTATATAGAGGCAATTATTATTTTGACTATGAAATATTTAAAATACCAAGAAGAATGCAAAGAATAACATCATGAAGGTCCATAAATCCACCGTTCATCTCCACTAAATTCCAGTATTTTGCCTTGTTTACTTAATTTTTCTTAAAACGAAAAGAAGTTACGAAAAAAAGATATGACGGAAATCCCCTTGTGTACTGCACCCTGAGATAAAGACTGAATTCGGGTTTCTCTTTTCCAGGCATGTATTTATATTATTAAAGCATTTGTAGATGTCTAACAATATGTAATAGTCTTTTGCATGTTTTCAAACTTGTATAAATAGTGTCATTTTTACAGGTTGCTTTACATTCAACATTATATTTTTGAGATTTTATCTTTGTTAATTCCACATGATTTTAAGTTCATTTATTTGAAATACCATGTCAGGCTGGGTGCAGCGGCTTGTGCCTGCAATCCCAGCATTTTCGGAGTCTGAGGTGGGTGGATCACTTGAGGCCAGGAGTTAGAGATCAGCCTGGCCAACATGAAGAAATTCTGTCACCACTAAAAATACAAAACTTAGCCGGGCGTGGTGGCGGGTGCCTGTAATCCCAGCTACTCAGGTGGCTGAGAATCTCTTGAACCTGGGAGGCAGAGGTTGCAATGAGCTGAGATCGCACCACTGCATTCCAGCCTGGGTGACAGAGTGAGGTTGTCTCAAAAATAAATAAAATATAATATCATATCATAAATTGTATTATATATCTTTAAAATACTACTATATAGTATTCCATTCTATGAATAATATACCATGTTTGAATTTCCTAGCTTTTGAAACTATTTTGCTATTACAGACAATGCTGCAATGAACTTTCTTGAGCACATCCTTTTTTGCCCTCCTAGGAGAATTTCTTTTTTTTTTGAGACAGGGTCTTGCTCTGTTGCCCAGGCTTGAGTGCAGTATCATGATTGTAGCTCACTGCAGCCTCAAACTTTTAGGCTCAAGCTCCTAAGTAGGTGGGACGACAAGCACACACCACCACTTCTGCCTATTTTTTTTTTTTTATTAATACTTTTTGTAGAGATGGGGTCTTACTCTGTTGCCCAGTCTGGTCTCAAGGTATCCTCCTGCCTTGGCTTCCCACAGCTCTGGGATGACAAGTATGAGACACGGTGTCCAGTCTCCTAAGAGAAGTTTTAGAAGGGGCATTGCTGCGGTGAAGGGGAGGCCCATTTTCAGCTTCATCTTGTTAACTTCCACGCCAAAGGGGTTGACCAGTTGTACTTCTACCAGTAGTGTGTGAAAGTCCTATTAATCTACATGTTCCCAAGACTTGCTGTTGTTAATGCTTAGGTCTGAAATAATTTCTTATTGTTATTTTAATTGCATTTCCTGATTACTAGGACAGTTGAATATTGTTACAGTTTTTGTTTGTTTCTTCTGTTTACTTGTGTCCATTTGATTGATTTGGCCTTTTCTTAATTGATTTTATAAATTTTAAAAATTAACAGTAAAATTGACTTTTTAAAGGAGGGGATATGTATAGCTCTGAGTTATTTTTTTTAATTTTTTTTTTTTTTTTTGAGATGGAATTTCGCTCTTGTCACCAGGCTGGAGTGCACGATCTCGGCTCACTGCAACCTCGGCCTCCCGGGTTCAAGGGATTCTCCTACCTCAGACTCCTGAGTAGCTGGGATTACAGGTTCATGCCCCCAAGCCGGTTAATTTTTGTATTTTTAGTAGAGACGAGGTTTTTACAAAGCTGGTCTCAAACTCCTGACCTCAGGCAGTCCACCTGTCTCAGCCTCCCAAAGTGCTGGGATTACAGGTGTGAACCACCGTGCCCAGCCTAGTTCTGAGTTTTAGCACGTCTAGATTCATGTCACCACTGTAGGAAGCAGGATGCATAACAATTCTATTACCCCAAGAAATGATCAGAATATTTTAACCATTCATTAAAAATGAATTCAATTTTTTGGCTTTATAGTTTTCAAGAAATTGGTTCATTTTATGTAAGTCATCAAATTTGTATTTGTGTAAACTGTTTGTAGTATTCTCTTATTATTCTTTAAATGTCTGCAGTATCTGTAGTGATGTCTTCTCTTTTGTTCCAGATACAGGTAATATGTTTCCCTCTCCCCACTTTTTTGGTTAATATGGCTAGAGGATTATTAATTTTATGGATGTTTTCAAAGAAGTAGTTTTGGTTTTATTGATATTCTTCATTGTTTTTGTTTTTAATTTTATTGGTTTCACTCTTATCTTTATTCTTTCATCTTTATTCTTTCCTTCTGATTTTTTGAGTTTATATTGGTTTTGTTTTTCTAGTTTCTTAATGTGGAAGCTTATAATATTGATTGAAGATTTTTTCTTTTAAGATAAGCATTTAATAATATGTATTTCCCTCTATGCATGCCTTAACTGCATCCCACAAATTTTATATTATATTTTTCATTCACTTCAAAGTATTTTCTAATTCCCCTTGAAACTTTCTTTTTGACATATAGATTATTATGTTGTTTAATTTCCAAGTGTTTGGGATTTTTCAGTTATCTTTTTGTTATTGATTGCTAATTTAATTTTATTATGATCTGAGAACATACTTTGTATGATTTCAAGGCTATTGCACTTATTAAGATTTGTTTTATGATCTTGGATATAATCTATCATAGTGAATGTTCCATGTGCATTTCAGAAGAATGTATATTCTGTTCTTGTTGGGTGGGTGTAGTGTTCTGTAAATGTCAATTGAATCCAGTTGGTAGATGAAATAGTTCAACTCTTTATATTTGCTGATTTTATGTTGGCTTGTCCTGTTACTGAGAAAGGAGTATTGAAATCTCTAACTATAATTGTGGACTTCTCTAGTTCTTTCAATTCTATCAGCTTTTGCTGTGTGTATTTTGAAGCTCTTTTGTTAGGTGCGTACACATCTAAAATTGTTATGTCTTCTTGGGGAATAGATTTTGTTTTTTTTTGGAGATAGAGTCTCACTCTGTCACCTAGGCTGTAGTGCAGTGGCACGATTTCAGCTCACTGCAACCTTTGCCCCCTGGGTTCAAGCGATTCTCATGCCTCAGCCTCCCGAGTAGCTGTGATTACAGGTGCCTGCCACCATACCTGGCTAATTTTTGTATTTTTAGTAGAGATAGGGTTTTGCCGTGTTGGCCAGGCTGGTCTCAAACTCCTGACCTCGGTTCATCCAACTGCATAGGCCTCCCAAAGTGCTGGGATTACAGGTATGAGCCACCACACCTGGCTGACTCTTTTATTTTTTATTTTTATTTTACTTACTTATATTTTTGAGACAGACTCTCACGCTGTTGC